GACTGACCATTGTATGATGGGAGATCTGCAGATTCACTCGGCTTTGTTACTTGTAATATAATCTATCAGATCCACATGTTCCATATGGCTTCTAGTGTTACACTCTAAACAAACTGTACATATGCACAGTGAAGGTCAAACAACAGAATGAAGCAAAAATGGAGAAAAATACATATTAGAGAGACAGGGCGCTATAAGAGGAATCAGAGAAGTGTTGTGAGGAGATACAATTTAGAATTGAAGTTAATCACTATAATGGAAGTATATTAACATGATATCTTGTCATTTTTTGCATTAATGCAAAAGTAACTTGTTTTCAATTCATATCAGCTGTAGCCCCCTAAATGGAACAGAATCATATCCTATAGTGGCAGATTTAGTCAAATTTGCAAATACATCATCCAAATTATCTATGTTTTTGGTATTGCAATAGGAGATGCACCAAATGTGAAAACCAATGTTCAAGACAACAATTTAGCTGATTGCCAATAGCAATGTTTTTCATCACTTCTTTCGGTGTTAGACTTCCACAATGCCAACATTTTCTCTCATGTTTGACCATGAAAACAGATCAGAGTTTATCCAACAGGTGACTTCCTCTGCCCAATAAAAAAACTATTTGAATCAGTAGGTGTACTATATTCCAGCATTAAACTGTTATGACATCATATACACAATTTGCACATTTACCAATGGGCCGATGTCTGTCAACAGGGCCAATACCGACATTAAACCGATCCATTGGTGTAATCCCAAGCTGTGATTTATACACCTAGTCGGCAGCATTTGAATGTTGTGTTTAAGGAGGAATGGCTTATTAATTTCTTGTATAGTTTTTTAAATGCATTGAGATGTAATTGTTGGTTGTACGCTTTGTATGCTCACCCTCAATGCGTTTGCTACAGGTACTTTCACTGTACAGTTTTTCCCTCTTAAGATGTAGAAAAGCAGAAGTATATACTGTAAAGCTACACAAAAGATAGGAAAAGTACAGCACTAGGGCTTCAGAATTATACCTCCTGCACTGGATAACAGCTCTGCTGGGAGGACTGTGGGTGATCATCACTACCAGGACATCAGGAAACATTAAATATATGCTACTATATATCTTTGCAGAGTGAGGCAACAGTGAAAAATACTGCAAGAATGGCACCCCAGCTGTACTGCTCATTGAGCTCTTGCAGCCACAGGACAAGCTGCAGCTTTGATATAAATGGATTTCTCCACACCTGTCTGGTCTTAATGCACCATTTAAAGAGGAGAATAAACTGGGGATCTTACTGGGCATCATGAGCCTATTATGATACTGTCACCCCTGGGAGCTTTCCCCACTATCCAGTTGGTGAATGTCAATAGTACTATTGTCGGGTTCACGTCCAGCTTTGTAAACGCATGGCCATCTGCTATTTTGTGGCAGCGAAAATAACACTTTACTTTTTCATGCTGCTTCTAATGGGGATTTTTGGCTTTGGTGTTGTGACTGATATTTTCTGATCATTACAAGCATTATTAACTTCTCTGGCCCAAACTACTCATCCAGAAAGATAAGAAAAATTGTGGATTGTTAGTGGATATCAATTGAGATGGCTTTGCCCTCATCACTGTGGAGCATGACTATTTATTATCTCCCAGTCTTTTGGGAAATGTAAATGGAGTTTAAATATCTTTAAAGACAGCCAAAAAACGTGTTATGTTAAATGTAATCCAGCTCCCTTCCCGTGATATTCATTAGCTGACTGTTGTCCTCCATTGACAGGGCTAAATAAGGACTGTGTCACTGGCTTTCTGAGGCTGAATAGTTTGCAGACCCAGCTGGTCACTCACAAGGGAGAGAATTAGAGGCTAAAAATGGAAGCAATTTTCTTCCAAGATTAGCCCGTGAGGAAACTAAGAAAAAAAAAGGAGTTAATGAATCTTCATGCCACTAAATTTAACCATTCCGTGGTTTGATTGTGGATTCTTTTAAAAGTCATTTAGGTTTTGATTAACAGTAACGTTTGTAATTACTTTGCAAAAAAGCAGAAAAAAAGAAATGCAATAAAAAGAGAGTACTACATGTTGTTAGCCTTATTCAGATATAAGCCATTTGACAGAAACTAATATTGCACAGATAAACATTGTTATAGGTTATTTATGTATAAATGTTTAGAGAGATGCAAGGAGAGAACAAATATAAACCACTATGCTGCTGGAACTCCCATTGCTTGCTAAAGAGAGCCATCTGCTGGAGAAATGCCTCAACTGTATTTTAAACAAGTTAATGTGCGTGGTTGTATAAATAGATAATTGATGATCTAACTAAAAGTCTCAATAGAAATATGACCCTATTAATGTTGTAAAAATACATTCACCACAAGGGACAGAGCACACTGTCCTTGGCCATATTGCGTCTTGTATTAATCATTGTTGTATAGCCGCAAACATGAGGATAAGAAGTGTTGTGTTCTTTGGGTCCATTAGAGTAAGTATCCCACGATACCCTTGGCTCCTGGTTTTTCTAATAAAAGAAAGAATGAAGGATTGGCAGTTTGCAGCAGCTGATGTGACAGCAAACAATAGCTTGAAGGTCACTGTAATAGAAATGTGTTGTAACACGTTTAAGTCGTACATGGCACGCATCATTCAGTCCAAATAATGACCAACTGTGTGTGATCTGTCAGTGTATTAAGTGTCCACGTCAACACTCAATGCACTGCTATGTATGGCTTACATCCATACAGCCATTCAACGCCAGCCAAATGGACTGTCAACAGCCCTGTGTGGATGGAGTTTGAAAGCTCAAGGCCTAAAAAGACATATGACAACACAGACTCCTTAGGATACAATGTTTTTCTCCACATCACAGTTATTTGTCTCTATTCATTTGAAACTATTCATACAAACAAAAACATTCACCACACATTCACATAGTGCAGTTTACTTTTTCACTCTGGCTCATTTCCACCTAACGATTTTGGATCCGGTGCCAATGTAGTTGGTGATGTGTTTGGAAAAATAAGCATCTTTTTCAAGGTGACGATGACCCTCACAGAGAAAAGAGAAGGAAAGGAAAAGACTCTGAAATCCTATTACCCAGAGGCCCTGGCTTATTTTATTGCCATCAGCAATGCTGGCCCATCAGCCGCACAGCAACTGTATCCAACAATTGCTCACACACTAATTCTATCCCCTGGTGCCAGACTCGCCCAGGGTGTGGATGTTGAACTCAAATTTAATCCGTGATAGTAATTACATGATGGCTGGGAATCCAATTGAGCTGATGTGGGTGTGTCCCAGTCTAAATGCCATGGAAAAGAAAAAAAAACCTGTCTGAATCATACATAAATTATGAGAAACTCTGAATCTACTCACATGGAAAGCCTGTCCTAATTTATTTTAAAACACAGTCGTAAGTTCAGCAAACATAAGAAAATACTTTTGAGAGTATTAATTTTAATTATTTAATTTTAATTTAATATAAAAAGTAAATGCATTAATAATACAACAAAGGAAAACTGCAATAACCATAAATACATAAAAACTACAACAATAGTAAGAGTGATAAATAAAACTCCAGCAATAAAGATTCTTGTGTTAAGAGGGGATCTGCTAATTGATAAATGCTGCAAAGTGGGAGGATGTGAAAGATAATTTAGAGTCTCCTTCAGGTGTTATGCGTGAAAAAAAAAAGAAATAATCTTTAATGGATTCCCATTCTCGACAAGCAATCCCAACAATCACCTTTTAAACAGTGTGCACATGCAAGGTGACACCCAATAAAAGTCAAAACTGTTCTGGAGTCACTAAAAGTGATGATAGTGGAGAGGTAGTGTGGGATAATGACGGAAAAAAATGACAGACTGCAAAGACCTTCATCACCTCGAAGCAAAAAAACAAACACTTTGACGTGTTCAATGTTACTTTGATGATGGTCAAATTAACAGAAACATTAACAGCTCCTATATAAGACATTAACTATAATGGAACGACATCTTTAAAAAATGTGAATATTCTTTTTCATCATAATAGACACTAAACATGTCTAACCAACAGCGAGGGAGTGTGCAAGAAGCCAACAGCACGTTCTGTTCCTCCACTGCACCCTGCAGGGCCTCACACCTCCAGGGCAGGGTGATGCTTCCTGACAGAGGTGCATGCTGCGTCTGACAAACAGGCTGGAGTTTTTATTTTCCTGTGCAACATTATTTTTGTGTTTGTATTGATTCACTGAGTGCCATCCAGGCAGTTAGAGACCTCTTCATTCCATTACTATCCCAGTCCAAAAAGATTCCTTACTATCATTTTATCTTATCTACATACTGTAAGTCATTTTTATTAAATTAAAGGGTAATTAAATGTTCCAATCGATATTCTTTCCCAGCACTATTTTTTTGTGATGTAAAAAGATATGATTCATAATACAGTAAATTCAATACGACAAAATGATTTGCAGGTAGACTTTGTGTTTACCTCGACTGACAAAGGAAACACAAGTTAAGATATAACAGGAGGACAATTTGCACATTCAAATAAAAAGTTAATACAAGTTTAAAGCACATCATAAAATATAACTGTTAAAAAATTTATAAGCGAAAGTTGTATTAAGATGTGCGCTTAGTGTATAGGATAATAATCAACATTGCTCCCCCACCGTTAAAGCTTTGTGAAACGTCACACTGAGCACATGAGCAGAGCTTCAAGGTCTGCCTGAAGCGGAGATTGTAGTATTCCTAAATGTTGCTCCGCTTTTTCACGACCTGCTTTTGCTTTTAAAGCCATTAAAGCTGGGAATAATCTCCAAACTAATGTGAAATTTTGCACAAACATCCAAACTTTCTCCCACAAAGTCAATTCATTGATTTTAAGGAACCAGCCTTGTCAGCATTTTTCTGTCATCTCAACTTTTTACAACTCAGGGAAACTTGTACATACTGTTTTAATATCTGTGTATTGCACTGTGTTCTTCTTCTCTCTTATGAAATGTGTGCGTGCGTGACTGGTTGATCTGTAAATCTTGTAGAAAGCATCTTTTCCCTTCTGATACTAAAGTTATTCTGTATACTGTCCCTGATACTAATGAATAATAAACTAAAACTGAAAAACAGGTATTACTCAGGGAAGTATGCTTCTGAAGTGCAACACTCTACTCGACAACAATTCACCTCTTGATACATTTATTTAAATTGACAGTTTTTATTATAAACTTCTAAAAGTGTTTAGTTAATCTGATGGAAAAATATTTTCCTTCAAACAAGGTCTTGTCAGCTTTTATGAATAAAATATTTCCAGAAATATTACAGCTTCAGTAATCTTGACTGAAATATTTGTTGACTTTGAAAACAGTCACACAAACAACCAAGTTTATGAGTAACATACGCTTTTCTTCCTCCATCCATACAAGTGTCATCTCCACCTGACCGTCTGAGTCCTGATAGTGGATGAGGAAGTGCTCCCCATTGTAGTCATAGGAGACAGGCATCTTCTGAAGCTGCATGGAAACCGAGGAGCTGACACACCAGAAGGGTTTCTTGAATTCATCCAGCAGGGTCAGATTCATGATGCAGCAATTCTAGTGAGAGTAGAGACATGTAGTGTCAGTATCAAGACTTTTCTCCAGGGACGATCATCATCTGTGGGTTTCCATTGATAAAATATTCCATTTTAGACAGCTGTATAAGAACTTTTTTTTATCCAAGCATGCACTACTGTATATGTCAACCAGTCATAGTCATTTCAGCTAGAAATAAAACATAGCAGTTCAACTTTTTAGTAGTTAACATCAGTTAACATAAAAATAGCATTTAGTCTCTGCATCCTGAGAACTTAGATACTTTGGTATTTTATTTTTATTTTTTTACAACACATATCGAGGGAGTGTGCAAGAAGCCAACAGCACGTTCTGTACCTCCACTGCGCCCTGCAGGGTCTCACACCTCCAGGGCAGGGTGATGCTTCCTGACAGAGGTGTGTGCTGTGACAAGTCTGCCCTGCTAATGGCACTAAGCTGGATTAGACCATCACAGATCTGGGCTGTACAGAGACAACAACAAACAACAAGCAAGTCTTAACACAAAATATTTTTTAATTTAACAAGAATTTTTTTACACGTTAGGTTACTTGAACAGTTAGCATCGCTTATAGTGCTGTTTAAAATGCCATGAATTCAAGGTTTTTATTTACACATGCTCACGAAAACTAGATAGTGTTGGATGTACAGTAATGTCTAGGATAGACAAAAAAGCTAGGCATCTTTAACATTAATAATTCAGTTTGCTATCATTTTTACCAACCATAAGATCCCACAGACTTGTATTAATAAAAACAGTGTTTAGGCGTCACACACAGTACAGCATGAAGTGAACATTGTCAGCATTATTAAACAATGTGACTCAGTAAGCTTGAGTATAAATTAATTACTTTTCCGGCAGAAGAGCTGGGAGAAGCTTCTGGACATGATCTCATTTACGGTGTTGTGGAGATCAATGTGTAGCTGGTAACCATGGAGACCATACTCAGGGTCTATATCATCAGAAGGGGGGTTGAACGTTGGCTCCACATAGGGGCTGGGGGAAGAAAACAAATGTGAAAGGAAAATAAAACTTAGGCTGCAGTGAGTGAAGGAAACATTTAGAACAAATGTATTTTTATGAAGAAGGAATTTCAGAGTGTTATGACTTTCTGGACTGTGATCAGAATGTTTTGTGACATTGTGCTCTCACAAGAAACCAGCAGAGGGGGCTATGGCCACACTATGTGTCAATACTCTCGAGCTAAAAGGCTTAAATTTCACACAGGTTGCATCTTTTCTTAATTTATGCTGAAGGGAAATAAAAATGTGAACACTGTTTGGTTTGGCCCGGTCGTTCTCAACCTTGTTGGCCTATGGCCTCAAAATAACATCCTCCTTTTACTCTTATCACAGGTTAAGATGCGCAGCAAATAGATTTCTCCCTCTTATAATGTAGGATTTTTAGAGGTCAGATAAACGACAGTCTTTGGCATTAAAAACAACTGATGCACAAATTATCATTTTACACCTGCTAGGTGCTCTTTCAGGGTTCCTGACCTCCCAGGGAACCCTTAATCCAGCCCACTAGTTCTTAATCAAATGAAGACAACCCAAACACTACAGCAGCTATTTTCTCCTGTTAATTATTCTGTTATTCGGTTTAAGCTTCCACTAATGAGTGAATTCAGCTGCTTATAATTAACACCTGCATTGCTTTGCTCCTGATGGCAGATGATCAAGTAAATTGCCCGCGTGTCAGCTCCTGACACATGATTTATTTTGGGCTTTTTGTGCCTTTAATGCAGAGGGAGGACAGTGGATAGAGTTGGAAACCAGGGAGAGAGAGCGGGGAATGACATGCGGAAAAGGGCCACGGGTGGAAGTGAACCCGGGCCTACCGCTTGACATGAGAGTCTCAATACATGGGACGCTCGCCCTAAACATTGCGCCACCAGCGCGCCCCTCCTGACACATGATAACAATATGATAACACAAGATTCTATATACAGTATATAAACACATGGAGCGGTCACAGTATACTATATGATGGTTGGAATCAGGTGCCAGTGATCGTGACGTGCCCCCACACTCCCCCACCCCCACTGCTGTGCTTCATAGAATGCTCAAGCCATGGGGTGTCAAATGGATCCTGTCAGTTATCGCACCCTTTGAATTTGAGCCCTAACCATGTGATGGTGATACACTGCACGTCCCTGTGAGCATCTGAATAAAAATGTGCCTGTTCAAGTGCAGCTTACCAAACAGAAGACCCCTGGACGCTTCTTTCCACCAGCATATGGAAGTGGAGGGTGAACATGATGAAGGCAACAGAGCACTGGTCCTGCAAAGAGAGGAATCACTTAAAAATCTTCTAAGAGTCTGCTTCAGAATAAGTCATTTTAAGCTACAGAAAAACAAATGAATACACGTGTGAAAATGACCTTCCATACGCCGACGATGATGCCAGGATGCAGCAGCTTCAGTTCAACCAGCCGGTCCTGACCAATGACCTGTGCGCTTTCAGTGTGAGCCTGCATGTCTACCTTCGCCATGAGGGAACTCCAGCCAGGTCTGACAGAGCAAAGCAAAGAGGACTGTAGGTCTCACTGAGAGGAAAGAGGGTACTGTCATAGTGGAGTTGGACGCTGGCTGTCTTACTTCTTTAGGCCCGGGCAGTTGAGGGCTATCCTCCTGACGCCGTGCAGTTGAAGGGTGGAGATCTGCCGGTAGTCAGGAAGGCAGCCTCCTCCGCTCCAGCACAGAGTCACAGAAGTCTTGCAGAAGCGGGACCAGCTGGGCTCGTATGTGCCCTCCTGTCCTGACTTATCAGAGACTGTGAGCTCCCAGGTGACGTGCAAGTTTCTCAAATAAGACAGCATGACACGGGATTAGAGCAATAAATGACACATGCTCTATGGTTTGCATTAAAAGTACAGTTGTTAATTTGCTTTGCTGTATGTTGGGGAGCTAGGGCTGCTGGTTCATACAAACAACAAAGGAATGTGCATGCCTATGATTTAAAGTAGGGTAACTTATTAAGTATTTTCATGAATTCATTCATCTCGATAATTTTGTGGATATATCTTTGAATTGTGTCAACCATCTAAGAGTAATTCTTCTTTTAGGTTTGTGAATCTGTAATACATATGTGTCTGGGCTGCCCTATGAGTCTGAAGAAATGTATATGTCTGACATTTACGAGTCAAGCTAATGTTCTCTTTCTAGCCTATTAGTGGGCTGTACCTGCTAACAGAAGATAAGCAACACTGTGTAGATTAATACTAGGCCAGCGATTGTGAGATCTTGGGTTAGCGTGGGTCAGCAATGGTCCGCACTTTGTCAGCCATGTGTGTTCTGTTTTGACCACGGCTGAATAAATCCTAAAATGATCCACAGTCTGTTTCACGATTTGAACATTTACTACAGAAACAACCCCCCACCCAACAGTAACTAATTTCCTGCTTTAACTCTAAGTGGGAAAAAAACACTTCGCTGACATTCCCTCAACGTCACATAAAAACACAAGGGAACTGCCAAAAACTGAAATTTTCAAAACATTATTTGGAGTTAATACGATGAAAATAATTGGGTAGTGTTTGGTATGGATGACTCTGGGTTTAATAGCCATTATGTTTCCTTTGACAGCAGCCTGCAAGGATCATGACTGTGGTTAAGCTAATGAAGGGACACAATGGATAAAATGAACTGCATTTCTGGTGATGAATCTCTTGATCTTATTCTGTCTAAACTGTGATTCAGGGCTGCCCCTTCTGCAGTGTGTCACTGAGGCACCATCCAATATCAATTAAGTTGAGGAACGAAGATAAAAAACTGGAGCAGCCCAGGGGGGCCCAGGTGACCCAGGGGATTTCACTCTGTATTGTCTGTATGTGTGATGTCTTGTGAAACGATTATTACCGAGGTAAATTGCATGCTCCTCAGTGTCTCTAACAGACAAACCCCCCACTGGGAATTGTCTGAGCTTGTGGGAGGAGGGAGGAAGTGGAAGCATGTTTGTGTAGGTGTGTGTGTTGTGGATGAGGAGTTTTTTTTGGGGGGGCTAAGTAATTTATTTCAACAATTCAGACAGCCTCTGCTAGGAAGACAATTATTTCTACTTCCCCTCTGTAACACAGGGACTGCCACAGAACTCAAAATTGAGTGCTGCACAGCTTCTAATCAGAGGTTATAAAAACACAGCAGAAACCACAGCGAGGACGGTGAGCGAGCTCTCCCCGTGTGCTGGCATCCCCCTGAGCACACGTGGCGTTCAGACGGAGACCTCCGCTCTCACCTTTAATAAGAAAGTGTCATCTAGTGCGATATGAAAAACAAACCAAGCTTTGTTTTTGATTGCCAGCGGCTTGAACTGTCCTCTAGTTTCTACCCTTGAACTTTCTTGACAGCGAGGGTGGATCTCTAAAGTTTTACTGTTTGCTAACCGCAAATAGAGGAAGGGTTCCCATGATACCACACAGAGCTGCTTCAAACTGTAAAACAGCTAAACATACTTTAAAGAGGGCAACAGTTAGAGTACGGCTGGGTAAGTATAATCAACAAAACCTGGAAAAGTGGAAATAATAAAAAGCAGCAAAGCCCAAAATAAGACGAATTGCACAAAGATTCCTAGATATCAAAATTTGACAATCTTCCTCATATTAACAGCCAAGGCGATTAAGTTCTAATTAAATTCACCAAACAAATCACACACTTCAGATTCAACGCCTCAGTGTTTTCATTTCATTTTCATTTTTGCCTCCCTCCGTCTCTTACCTGAGGACCTGCTCCGTTTGGCTTGGCAGCCCAGTGTGACAGCTGATGAGCCCAAGACGTCTTACCCACTTGTTCATGTCACAAGCGGCCATAGTCCGGAAATGAAGCCACTTCCAGTAGCCCAAGGCTCCATCCCGCACCTCCTCTCTGGATGTCCTCAGCAGCAGCCCGTCCACGGATTTAGGTTTACGCTTTTTATTCGTGCCAAACTCTGCGATGTAAATCTTTTTCCATAGAGTGCTGCAATGACAGAGGTTCCAGACAAGCTCAAGATAATTAGTTTTTTTAATAATATTACTTTTGCCAGTTTAAGGCAATAATCACTGTTAGTTCTCAAACGGCCTTATATGTGGTAGCAAACTTTTCAACACTGCTAAACAGTACAGTGTTAGGTATCGCTACAGATGTATGTATTCGCATCACTGATATCTCTAAACATTCAAATTCAGTTTTCACATACTGCACATAAGACTAGACTAGACTGCACAAATCTTTTTTTTTCAAATACATTTTTTCGACAATTCCAGCCTGAACTTGATCCATACGTGAGTCAATTGCTGTAAAGAACAAAAAAGATTGTTGTCAGATCAGAAAATAAGCATTTTTAAAAACAAGAATACAAGGAAGCAGAGAGAGTGCACAGAGGCACTGCTTGTTAATAGGCAAGGCATGAAACTACTTGGGGCCCCGGGGACGATTGGGGACCCCCATAGCAGTGGCTTAAAAAAATGTGAAAATTTTGCAATGACAGTAGAATCCTTTCTAAACGGGCTCCCATCTAACGACACTCACTCTTCTTGCCGTGCAAAAAAAATCACATGAATTATTGCTGTGAAAACCAAAGTGTGTCAATGAAAGTCACAGAAGGAAAAGGAAGAGGAATTATCGGTCTAGGAGTAAAACAAAAAAAAAAGAAAGAGAGAAAAAAAGGGGAAGAGGAGTCAGGACACTGACAGACACATTTTTGCCTAGAGCCCCAACAGATTCTAGGATCGCCACTGCAACAAGCCCTGAATGACACTTACTTTTCATTTGCGTGCTCATAGAGGAGCTTACTGACGTGGCCCAGGATGAAGAGAGCAGAGGCATCTAGGTATGACAGAATCTTCATCAGGATCTCAGAAGGCAGTCTACAGGAAAGGTAATTAGACATCACTGCAAGGAAGGGAAAACAGTGTTTGCATGCCACCTGTTGTTCTGCACGCTGTTTTCGAGAGAATCACTTGAGTATGAGACAAAAGTGTTTTTGACCGGCTGCGTGGCAATTTTGTCAAAAACTTAATGCAGAAACCTGATATGACCTGTGTTGATGTTCCTAATGAGCAAAATTCAGTCAAGTGTCATGTGTCTGTTTATTTTTGCTCGGTCTATCTTCTCAGTCAAGTATGCTAAAATGTTAAGAAGTGCACATTTTTCATTCTTGACGACATGCTGCATATCTGTAAATTAAAAATATCGATCAGGTTTGATTTAGGTTGGAGCTGTCCTGGTTACTGATGGCTCTGCAGTCCAATTAAACCACCTCGGTAAGTGATGTATTCATGACATGTTTTCATTACCTACCAGGTCAATCACAAGCACTCCACAAACAACCGCATGAAACAACTTCTGAATGCAACACTCAATGAATAAGTCAGCGCTGGTGCAGGTTTAATGGGGATAATGTTACATATTTTAGCTCTAACATCCAAAATACTTGAGTTAACCTCTCGCTGACATTCGGAGCTGTCAACATATAGCGACTCCGTTTGAAGTCCTTCTTGGCATTTGGAGAGTTTGGGAAAAGGAGCAGTCTGTCAAACTCAAAATGTATCCATAACATTTCCTGTAAAGATGCAAATGCAGACACTATGCACTAGTGGATGAGCAGAAAATCGATCAGCATTAATTGTAACATGTTGTTTACTTAGATGCTCGATGTGACGGATGTTTCATGTCATGTGTCTTGTAGGCTGCTACTTGATGCCTGAATTTCCCTCATGTATCAAGTATCTATCTTTACGTGCCAACATGCACGCAATAATAATAATACTATTATGCTGATGGTTTGGCATGTCAGCAAGCAGATGTTTGCTAATTAGCACTTACCACCAAGTACAGAAGCCTGAAACTGGCAGGAATGTCATATAGTTTTTACAAACCAAACTGAATGAGCAGATATGTTCTCCTGTTGAAATATCAAGGCTATCACTTGTCATCTTTATGGGAAAATTAATGTTTGAAACCTTATCATTTCAATCAAAGTTATGATTAAAAATGTTTTTCAATCTCAACATAACTTTAAAGGAGTTTGACAAGGACAGAGTAATTTATCCTGAGGGCATACGGATTTTGATGTGAAAGGCAAGATGTCCTTTTTGCCACACTATTTCACCACAAATGGTGCTACAGGTAACTCTAGAGAAACATGAAAGTCATTGGAAATCACCCTGTTAATGATGAGCATCTGTTCAAACTTTTTTTACATCAATTTATCCAGTACTGGTTAGAATACTTTTGTTCTGATATTTTAGTCTTACCTGCATAATTTATCGAAAATGCCACACAGAAGTGAGGGTTTTGCTGCTTCTCTTTTAGGTAGCCTACACCATTGTAGAATTAAGTGTCTCTTAGGAATGAAGTGCTGGTCAGACAAAAAAAAAAAATCTATTAAAATATTTGTTTCTTTAGCTTGAATTAACTCTTTTATTATTTATTACTTATGGATTATTATTATTTATAATTTTTTTGGCATTTGGTAGACTTAATGGTTAATCGATTAAATGCAAAAAAAAAAAGGAAATAATTAATTTGTTAGCTTTAGCCTCTATCCAAACCGATAATGTGCCCTGCATTTTAAGATCAATAGAGTCAAGTTTTTGTATTATTTTAGAAATATTCTTCCAGTAAACTGTGACCAATTAACATAAAGAGGGAAAGTGAATTTTAAAGTCTGGAGATAGGGTTTTTGAAAAACTTTTTATAAGCCTATATTTTTCACTTAAAATAAGGATATATATCTGCATTAACTGCATTACATTCTTGTTTGGCAGTTCACAAGAATGGAAATAGCCTATAGGAGAGCTGCCTATGGATAAGTAGTAAGGTAAGAAATTGATTTAACCTGTGAGTCATTCAGTCATTTTCCGCATTCAATGGAAAACAAGATGACTTTACTTAAACAACAGAACCGGTAATTATGATTTAAACTTTGCTTGTATTGTTTTGGTAATCTATTGCGTATATACAGGGCCATAAAGTTAGGCTACTTAACACAATGTGTGAACACATCAGTGCCCATCATGCCAATTAACACGGTCACTCGTTCAGCTGTAACAGCCGGCTAGAGTTAGTGCATGAATGCAACGCAGGAATAACATCTTCTGATATTAGGCCTACCTTTCTAGAAAGTTCCGAGAGGACGCTGGAGATAATTTGTCTGCTTTTTTAAACGTCCTCACTGCCCGCAGTCTTGAAGGAATTGCTTTTGGAGCAGCTGCCATTTCTTTCATTAGTGTTGACCTCTCTGAGACAGAAGATAGGTTAAATCTGTTCAACGCGAAGCAGCATGGCTGTGTGTCGTTTGATTATGGACCGACGAATATATTGCTACATGCAAACTGGGGAAAACGTAAATCTTTAGACTCTAGAGGTATGCTATTTGAACCGCTTTTGACTACAACCCGAGGTAGTAACATAAGTTTCTAGACTGTCTGCGTTCCGTCGCCATGGTGACGCCCTGCCCGGTCAAGTTCCGGCCATGTGCAGTAAGCTACATACCTTCAAAATAAAAGCTGAAGGTTTGTTCAAGAATAAATGTACATATATGCTTTTTATGGTTAAAGGTAGGTAATCTTTCTGATTATACGGGCTATTTATAAGTAAATATACTATAGTCTATTATTTGTATCCTACTTTTGATCTTAACGAAAATGCAGTTTTGTGTTGATGTGGTCTACCTTAATTGACTTAATTTACACTTAGGCCAAACAGATTTATACACACTCACTCACACAATCTGACAAATTTGTCATTGGTCGTTGTGAGTGATGGGTAGCCATACACAACACGTTTGTTTCGCATTAGGTCTAATCCTGCTAATGTGTTTTATCCATAGACTGTAAAGGCTGCAAATCAGCTGCAGTTTACATACGCATACTACACCTGCTGCATTTGTTTTCAATTTGTTAACTTACATAATACAATACATAACCTATAAAAGGAGATACGTTAACACAGACAAACATTGCGTTTACTTTATTTGACATGATTCACTTTCATTTAAGTCTTAAGCATTTATCTGAGGTAATAACCCACTTTTTTTTTCTAAAAGAAAATGCCTCAACAAATACATTGATTCTGGCTCCAAATGTGTCACACACACACACACACACACACACACACACACACACACTCACTCACTCACAGTAATCCCAGTTACTGTAAGCTCCAGCAGGCACAGTATGTTCTGCCCTTACCTTTCTCCAGGTTAGCAATATAACTGCTCATCAGGGTGTTAGTGCGGCACTAGCAGGGGAGGAACAGGCAGGATTGATGTTATTTGTCTTCTCACACATGTTAGGATAGAGGTCACATCTTATTGATGTATGACAAGAGAGACATAACACTGTCTCCCTTGCTTTTACTCAGGGTTGCAGTGAAAGAGAGCTTTTAAATGAACCTTTTGAGAGTCTGACCTCATTTCAGAATGAAGATACAGACTCTTTTATGACTGGGTACAAACAGATGGACAATCAGACAGATGGATGGACAGTTATCTGTTTTAAAGTGGGTATTTTTAGTTCTTTGAAAACATATGGTGGTGTGAGCTCAAAGGATGGACATCCTTTGAATTTTTGGTCTTTTTATGCACAATTTTTCTTTCAGATGTATTAAGAATGTAACAAGCTCTGAAAAGTACATGGATTCACTATATTTTAATAGCCAGATCACAAAAAACAGTCCTACTTAATGCAAAGTCAAGTCTAAGTCATGATCATAATCATGCTATTATAAATCCTTGAGTGCTTTTTGCAGGAAAGTCACAACCAGACTCATGCCGAATCCTTTTGCCTGCAAATGCAGATGCCTAGCTTTAAGAACAAATCACATAATCGACCTCCCCTCATTCCTGGAAGCAACTTGTCTTTACTAACTGTCAGGGAAAATCACCATAAAACTGTTGTCAGCCTCCCCGATCAGCCTGCCTGATAGAAGTGAAGTCCCTTTTAGGGCAGCGGCCGCCCCTGGTATGGTAATGCCATGTAGGCCACATCCCCTCTCCCTTTGCATGTCCCCTTACTTGACATTTGATGTTTTGTGTGTGTCCTCATGGGGCCTGGGGTCAGTTGTGGCTCTTGGATACCTGATGTCACTCCTCCTTCCGCATGGTTGGTGAGCCAGCTCTGACAGTGCAATGTTTGTCAAATGTGGGTGAGAAAGACAGGAAAGATCACAATGATTAAGTCTTGAATAATGTCTTCTTCAAAGTTGTGGATCGTTAACATAAGGTTGTATTTTATTGAAACAGCTGGTAAAAATTTCTGAAGCGCATTCTGCATTTTTTCCAAGATGTTTAATGCTTATTCATGATGGCAGTCATAGATTAAGTAAAATATGTAGTTTGTTTTGCATACATTCAAATTACAGATTACAGTTTTGATAGAAATATATGTTAAAGGAAATGCTGCCTCTTTTTTTTCTAATATTTACCTGAGTGTAAAAAGTGGAGGACATTCTATACAGTATTTTCCCATGCATGATGTAGCCACTACCCTTAAGTAGAGAAAATGACAGCTCATTAAAGGTCTAACGGGAGGGTTCAGCCTTTATGAAGCTCTACTTTGCAGACTCTTCAGAGGTCTGGAGCGCTGATAGGGACCCTTTACACAGCTCTTCAAAGGATGATGACATGTCAGGAATTGAAAGGAAGAAAAAGGGCCAAAGGGGTGGTACAGGGAGGTGCGGGTCATTCTCTGTGAAGTGGGCATTTTCTGAAGTGTCCCCTGCTTTCAGTTGGCTTAAGGAATGTTTGTAAGTGTGATGTGTGTGTGTGTGTGTGTGTGTGTAGAATAATTTGCTGAGCTGCCAGAACACACCTTATAATAAGGAAATGAAGAAAAAAATTCCAAAAGAGTTATGGTTTTAATCATGTTTATGCTTTGATTTCTTTAGTTTCCTCTGAAATGCAGATGCAGCACTTTCTGCAGAAGTAAAATCCGCCACTGGATGGCGCACAAGTATCTTTATTGAACTTATAAAGATGCTCGTTTTAAGTCTCAAATTAGCAACATTCTATACATGTATGCTGAATGTACCATACAGCAAGGTTATCCGCTGCAGCCCCCCCTTTCATTCCGGATTAATCAGGCGGCATGAGTAACCCTCAGCATATAAATGATAGGCATTAAGAGCAAGGGATTTCTTGCGTCCTGAGGGGCCCCTGAGCTCAAAAAACATTGAACTGATTAATATGTAAACAAAGCCATTAAGTCCACGCATGTGCTCTTAATTGTGGGACACTTGTGTGGAGTCTTGTTGCAGTGGCTACGCACATACGAAGAATGGGCGTGAGTTGTGCCTCGAAAGGGAGCCCAGAGACTCTTGCTGTTTGAGCACCAGCGATCTGAGCGCTCAGTTTACAGAGTGCGCGAGACAGAGAGGAGATATCAGCGGGATGGAGCGCACAGGTAGGTCGTGAATTTTCTTTTTTATTAACAGAAAGGACATCAAAAGAGCTTGTTTCGCGACGATTATCAGTTAGAAAGAGAGTGGGCCAAAATTTTATAATATACATTTTCATGGGTATTTTAAGTAGTTGTGCTTGTGTAGAAACTCCGCAGTTGCACAAATTGTTGATCAATACCAGACTAAAAGAACAGCGTGTTAATGAAAACACGATTTTTCGTACAGACAGCCTTTCATTTTACGCACGATAGTCATTTTACGCACAGAGAATATACTGAAGTTTAATAACTTAACTATCCAATGTAATTGTTTCTTCTGTCTGATATTGAACTTGTGTTTTCTTCTCCTATATAATTAGGATTTACAACAACACTTGTGTGAACACGCTCCCCAAATCCACTAAGACGCACAAGAGGGAGGGGAGTCAGAGCCGGAGAGAGTCAGAGTGCGTCTGTGTGTCAGAGGCTGTTTGAGAGAGTGAGGAAGCACCGCAGATAAAGGAAGACTGAGGGACTAAGTCTGGACCAGGTGATCGAGGACGAACAAACCTCAACGGGACTGTCGGGTTCTAGCAGTGTGCACGGGATCAGCGATCCAAACCATGGTGCCCGCGCGCTGCCCGGGACCCTGCGCCATGCTGGCGCTGACCCTCCTCTTTGGATGCGGCGTGGTTGTCTGCCTCGGCCAGAACGACACGGAGCCCATCGTGCTCGAGGGGAAGTGTCTCGTGGTGTGCGACTCGAACCCCTCTTCGGACGGAGGAGTCACCTCCTCTCTGGGCATATCGGTGCGCTCCGCTGGGGCAAAGGTGGCTTTCTCTGCCGTGCGTGGAACCAACCACGAGCCCTCAGAGATGAGCAACACGTCCATGACCATCTACTTTGACCAGGTCAGATCTAAATTATCAGTTAAATAGTTCAGCAAAGTTTATTATCGATCAGATTTTGACCATTACTAGAGCTCGATTTCCGTATTTTCTCTTTTCTGTCCAAAATGTATGCGTTTTGTGTTTGTGCCATGAAGGAGGGGATTGTTTAAGGTCACGAATGAGTGATTTCCTATCACTGATCTTTTTAGTATGATCTGATGCTTGTCTTTCTCAAACACAGACACGCTGCTGTTATTTCTCTGAAATGGCTATATTTAATGCTGTGCGTAATTGGCGCGATGTAGAGATGCGCTGCCAAAACCAATGATCATCCGTGCGCGATCATTTAACATATGCGTTTTAGGCCTCGGCCGAATTGACATGTGGATAGTGTTGCTTTTGCTCGGAAAATCTAATAAATTTTCACGGCTGAGGTCTTTGCATAGCGGCCTCCAAGACGCATCAAATTGGGAAGGATCCCAAAACTGCGACTGAAGTGTAGCCAAAAGATTTGGCGTAACAGAACCAGAGCATGAATGATACGCCTCTCTGTAGTCACTGTGCATAGCAGAGACAAACAATACATTACTACAAAACCAGCTGTTGGAAAAATAATTATCTTGCTTGTTCATAGGTTTTAGTCAACATTGGCAACCATTTCGATCTCAAAGCAAGTGTTTTCCAGGCTCCAAGGAGGGGGATTTATAGTTTCAGTTTTCACGTGGTGAAGGTCTACAACAGACAAACTATACAGGTAAGCAAACAATGAAAAGGCTGCCATTAATATATGCTTTTAGGTGATGAACCACAACTTCAAGCCTTGTCGTCTTTTCTTGCAGGTGAACCTGATGCAGAACGATTATCCGGTTATATCAGCCTTCGCCGGTGACCAGGACGTAACGAGAGAGGCTGCCAGTAACGGAGTACTGCTGATGGTGGAACGGGAGGACCGCGTCTATCTGAAGCTGGAGCGGGGTACCCTTATGGGCGGATGGAAATACTCCACCTTCTCAGGCTTTCTAGTCTTTCCTCTATAATTCAATCCGCGATGATCCACGTCGCACTCTTCGGACTCTTCTTCTAGGTTGAGGAACAAAAAAGAAAAACAACAACAACTACAACTACAACAACAACAACAACAACAACAACATGCCATTTATTTTTAACTTAAATAAAAACTGTCAGCCAAGG